AAATATTTGTCAAATCATGCCCTTTTACTCCATTGAGGCTAAATTTCTTCATCCAATTCTTCTTCATGAGAAAATTTGTTATGCCCAATTATTTTGGAGCACTTATCAAAACATAAAAAGCACATTTGCATTTGTCGATTCTATTAGCATGCCTTTATAAATCTCCAACATTTTAGAGTCATATAGAGGAATACAATAAGAACTACTATTGTTTTGTGCATAACTAATAAAGATGCAACCAACAATCTAGGGTCCAATCCTTACAACCTTGGGATAAGGTATAAAACCTTTTGAGACACCCCCACATTTGTATGTATTTGTAAGATGATTTTATACCCGACCATACTTAGATGGTTTTTTTTCGTTTTCTTTTGGGGTACCTTATTTAAAAGGTAATTAGTTGACAACACAACTTCCCCCCACATTGAGTGTGGCAACCCAAAACATAAGCAACAACATGCAGTGTTGCAAAACTCGGCCTACTCGGCCGATTACTCGGAATCGGCCCTCCACCGAGGCGAGTAATGTGAACTCGGCAAAAAAACTCGGATTAAGTCAAACTCGGTTAAAAATCGGTCAAAATCGGTCAAAAATCGGTCGACATCTCTCTAACTCGGGCCTACTCGGGCCTACTCGGTCTTACTCGGGCCTACTCGGTCAAACTCAGCCAACTCGGTCAAACTCGGTCAAAGGGTCAAAATTGTCATAAAAAGAGAAAAAAATCAAGAATTTCAAGATTAATATGTATAATATACTTAATGATTTATTATTTAACACACACATGTGATTATTACTACATATATATCTTAAATTTTCAGTAATTATTTATGAAGTGAGACATCTGTGTGTATTTCAGTTTTTATGTATTCACATGTATCTAATTTTGTTATATTTTTCAATCAAATTATGATTTTAACTTATGATTTTGACATATATAATTTTCCTAAAAATATTTCTACATAAATTACCGAATCCGAGTACTCCCCGAGTACTCCCGAGTACTCGCTACTCCCCAGTCGGCCGAGCAGGTACCGAGTAGCGAGTTCTACAACCTTGACAACATGGTATTCATCATTTCATTTAAGGTATGATGTTTCATTTCAGTGATGCCATTTGTTATGGTGAATAAGGTGCCTTAAGCTCATGTTTAATACCATGACTTGCAAAAAATTCCTCAAATGGTGATGCATATTTACCTCCACATTCACTTTTTTTTTGTTGAGATGACTCTCAACCTCACTTTTGTACAATTTAAACTTGTACATCTTTACTTCTAAGTAAATTAACATATCAAAGTTTAATGCAATCGTCAATAAAAGTGATAAAGTACTTATATCACCGTTATATGGATTTGACTTCATATCACACACATTTGTGTGAATTAATCCAAGGGGTTTAGTTGTCTTTTCAACAAACTTGAATGATTGGTGTATTAATTTTGACTCAACACAAGTGTTGCATCCATATTTTGGCTTATATGAAAGTGAAGTATGTGTTCAAGTTTGATTAACCTTCTTAACGTGTCAATATTAACATGTCCAAATCTAGCATGTCACACATTAGAAATTTAAGCAAGTAAGCGAAAGAGTTATCCAACTCATTGATATTAGGCTCATTAGCCAATATATTGAATTTAAACATTCCACCATTCGCATAACACTTGTCTATAAACATACCATTTTAAGTTAGTACAAACTTATTGGACTCAAACACCAAACAAAAATCCATTTTTGTTCAACAACCATCCAAACACTACGTTCTTCCTAATCAATGGAACATACAACACATCATTAAGTGTTAGCTCTTTTCTATGTGATACCATTTCTGGAATGTTTTAAACACCAAATTTAAGTGTTTAGAATCACAATTTCAAGAATAATTTTTTGCCTTAACTTGGACAACCTTATAATTCTTGAGTCACTCCCTCTTTGAGCACACATGTCGTGTAACACCCATATCAATCCATCACTCAATGGAGTTAGCATCCATAGAGTTTACTTCGGAAATCATTCCACTTTGGGTGGTGACATTTCTGAAATCATTTATACACTAAATTTAAATGCTTAGAATTCTAATTTCCAGAAAATATGTTTGCCTCTTGCTTGGACAAAACTCAACATAATTTATATTTGAGAAATTATGAAACTTGATTTCTGATGCAGGAATTCTAAAATTTAATTTCTCATGCAGAAACTGATGCATAAATTAATATTTTCTTTCAAACAAGAAAATAGGAAAACTGAGGCATTAATTATGATATCAGAAAACTAATATTTTCTTTCAACAAAACTATTTAAAATGTGATGTTTTTAAGTAAAACCAAGTTGTTTTATGATTTCAAAAGCTGTTTTACATAAAATTGAAATCGTTTTTGACTAAACAAAGCCTTTTTGTTTTTCACAAAACAATGCATTCTTTTCAAGACTGCTTTAGCCCCACTTAAGTATGTCAAAACTGAAATCTAATTTCATAATCCAGTAGGCTTGTCTCTTAGCTTTCCAGGGACTACTTGCACAAGTGCATACGATTTTTCTACAATTTATTATGAATTTTACAAAACTGTGTATCAAAGCTGTTAAAATATAACCAATCAGTGAAAATCGTATTTTTCACCCTAGGTAGAGTTGTTTACAGCTTTCAGCCAAAACTAATGAAACGAAGTAGACTCATATACCAAACTTTGAGAATTGGTTTCAACCAAAATTGAGCATCCATGATTAAGTTATGATTTTTCAAATATTGGGACAGATTAGAGCATTTCACAGCAACACGTAAATTGTGTTTTTGAGTTAAGATAGGTTCTTAACCCATTAGGTACTTAATAGAATCAGTACCGAAGCTTGAAAATGCGATACTTAAAACAAATACATGTCTTAATGACTTAATGACCAAAGATGCTTCAAAAACAGAAAAAAATCAATTTTTTTCCTTAAGAAAATCGTACAATATCAAAATAATGCAAGTAAATTGTTTCTGATTTCTAGTTCGATTTGTACAAACAAATTTGTTTTAAGATTGTATGAATAATATTACGGAAACGTACGAAAACAAATAAGAAATAGGAAAAAGTTGAGGCATGTGTTTAACACATTGTCCTTAAAACAAATTCGCCCACTATCGGGTGTTTGTTTCCGAGGATACAACAACTAGAAGTGGTTCTTCTAGACCACCCGAACCCTCATTAGGCCTGAATTTTACCTTCAATATAGCTAGAAAAAGAAGATGATGTGGGGAAGAAGAGAGTTTTCTTGCATTCTTTTGGTGTACTCAAATGGTTGTAGAGTAGTGATATTTATACTACACATTCTATAACCTCCCATTAATCACAAAGATTAATGTGTGTTAATGTGTAAATTGTAATATTAATTACAATTTCAGTTACGAAAGAAAGAAATATATTTGCAAGAAAGATCCCTGAACTTTTCTTTCTCCCATGCATTAAACTCTTTTATTTATGTCTTCCAATACCCTTACTTTAAGGATTAATTTATCATTCATATTAAATCTATTTTGGACGTGTTAAAAAAAATGGGGAAAACCGATTTTTATAAATTGGTTAACACCAATTTTCCAACAATTAAGGTAGTGTTTGTTTTTTGTCTGCAGATCTGCGTGGCCTCTTCTGTCTGCGCCGCGCAGACCACGCGCAGACATTAGCCTTCGCAGACTGTTTGTTTTTTTGAAGACTGCAGACCTAAAAATGTCTGTGCGTCCTCTTCTTGGCGCAGATGTGGACCATAGTCTTCTAACATCTTGTAGCCTAAAAAAACATATATATCTTTATTTTTTTAAATTTTTTAAATTTATATTTTTTCCAACTTTATTAATGATAAATAATTTGAAAAAAAAAATTACAAAACTTAAAAAAAAAAACGTTCGACGATACAAACATGATATTTTTGACAAATTTATAAATAATGATTCATTACAATAATAGTCGTTGAAGTTGTTTATATAAATATGAAAAAAAAATCATAATATATTCTTATATTTTTTTGTCAAAGTTTGTAAAACATTATTTAATACAGTATTGTCAATTTCTCGAGAAAATATTTATGATACGTTTTTAATGGATTTAATTGAAAAAATCGAAGTTTATTTCCATCCATTTATGTATCAAATTCTTTGATCACTAATTATAATGTTTAGTTATAACTTTGCAACCAAAGTTGTTGGTTTTTATCAAATATATACGTTAATTCATACCATTTTTATTTTATATTTTTTTATACAATAATACATAAAAGTTGATCTAGATTCGTTAATTATTTATAACAAAGTAATAAAAATATTAAAAAACCACTTTGAAGTTTAAAAAAAATCAGTTTATTTAGATTTCAGTTTATTTTAATAGCCCGCAGATGTTAAAAATACAAACAGTCTTCTTTTTTCAGACTGCAGAGGTCTACAGATGTAGTCCGCAGACTGCAGACATTTTGCCTCAGAAAAAACATCTCAAATTTTAACAATCAAGTTTTCACCTTGAAATTTAAGGCACCTATAAACTTTATACTTGGGTTATTTGTTGTCCAAGATGTCAAACTTTTTGCTTTAGATCCACAACTACAAAGTAGAAATCTATCTTGAAGGTGTCATCGTTTCCCAAATACTATGCTTGAAACTGATGAAAAACTCATGGTATAAGTTAAAAGGAAGAAAACCTAATTTATACAGATGGACATATCTTTTGCCACACGAGATGCCACGTGACCTCAAATTGTCCATGTAACCATTTATAAGTAGATAACTGGTTTTCAACTTTTCAATGATCGATAATGGCTGAAAATATAAATAATCAAATTATAAAAGTATAAACTAATAATTTTTCAAACAAGACGATGAAAATAGAATGTCTTTTTGTGAAACATATTCTTCGTTTAATAGAGAAATTTTAAGGACATTGATTATTACCTGGGCCAAAATATGGGCTTTCGAACTAGGCATGGTCCAGGTCTAAGATACAGCCCACAAACCATTTTTGTGTTACGTTTACATAATAGATATACATATCTTCATAAACCCTAGGCTTCACTCCCCCTCCCCTTAACATCATTTGTTTTTGCAGGTACCAGCAACCGCCGTCCCCATGGTAACGTTTTGCTTGAACCCTGACATCCATGTCATTACTCTTCTTATTCTTATCATCGCGTGCTAAATCATTTGATGTTTTGTGATCCAGGGTATCGATCTCGTTGCAGGTGGAAAGAGCAAGAGGACCAAAAGAACCGCCCCTAGATCCGATGATATCTATCTCAAGCTTCTCGTCAAGGTATTCGCATTTCATAGAGTATATCTGATTGATTGTTTGCTTTTGTTTTTTTAGAACGAGAAATACTGATTCATATATGCTATTTTTTTTTCTTCTTTTGATTAGCTTTATCGGTTCCTAGTTAGGAGGACGGGAAGCAACTTCAATGCTGTGATTCTGAAGAGGCTCTTTATGAGCAAAGTCAACAAGCCTCCGATTTCTCTATCTCGTTTGATTCGTTACATGTCTGGAAAGGTAATTGTCTTTTAATTGATTTCCGAACATATGCTACCAATTTTGGACTTATCGTATGTGTATCAGACCGAATGAGCACTCCATTTTACATTCCTTAGCATTGAAGTTCCATAAACAAGTAAATGGTTTGTAATCATTTCTAATGTTTGAATATATACAAACAGGATGACAAGATTGCTGTGGTTGTTGGTACAGTGACCGATGATGTTAGGGTTCATGAGATCCCTTGCATCAAGGTTACTGCTCTGAGGTTTACTGAGACTGCTAGGGCAAGGATCGAGAAGGCAGGAGGAGAGTGCTTGACATTTGATCAGCTTGCTCTTAGAGCTCCTCTTGGACAGAACACTGTATGGTCTTTATTTACAAATATGATAAGTTTTTGATGCGTTTGTGTGCTACAGTTATTTGTTTTGACATGTTAATGAATGAATAAATGAAAAACAGCAACTTGTAAGTTGTAACTTGTTAATGGTTGATGCAGGTTCTGCTTAGAGGCCCAAAGAATTGTCGTGAAGCAGTGAGGCACTTTGGAAAGGCACCAGGTGTTCCACACAGCCACACCAAGCCTTATGTGCGATCTAAGGGAAGGAAATTTGAGAAGGCTAGAGGAAGAAGAAACAGCAGAGGCTTCAGAAACTAGGCTTTTCTTGAGGTGTCACTATTTGATGATTCTATGTCAACTTCTATATTGGGATCTTTAAAGTTTTGTCATTTATAAGCCTGTTAGACATATTCTTCATGGTGCTTTTTGTTATTTTAGGCAAGTTTTTATGGGTATTGTTGGGTGTTTTTTTTTTTTGAATTTTGAGACATTTTCAATCATATTTTTTGGATTGGTGTTGGTTGCATTTTTCTATGTAGCCTTGGTCTGTTCCAAACGAGTTTATAGGGTCGAACATGAGCGTCCAACATAAAGTTGGCAACTTAAAAAGCTTATTGGGTAAAGTAACTTATCGTAAGAGCTTATTTAATCTGAAGCTTTTTGAAATAGATTGTGCCAATAGTGTTGTTAAGTTTCCACCAAATCCATCTATTTTTCCTGCCAAAAATACCCATAGACATGGATGTTTGCAAAAACAGTTTGAAATCCTATTCACAAATAACTATACAAAGTACAAACCCAAGTTATAATCCGCGCTTTGAAGCTGTTACATGTATCAAACAGCTGATAATAAAACAGAGAATCTGTTAGTCATCCTTATCAATCGTCACGCTCTACCAAATATTCCTAAAACGAACAAAAGGCCTTTCATTAGTCTCCAGTTACATATTGCATAATCGGTAGAAAGTTATAGGTACTTCGTTTATTATAATTGATAACAAATAAAGGAAATTGTATAGTTATGTGTACATGTTAAAATATGTTACTATATAAGATACTAAGGACCTTAATATTATTAAAAGTACCACCGCCTAGCAAGTTACTAGACGGGGCCAGGAGAACAACAAAGATAGAACAAGCATTACATCAATTTCTATCGTCTCACAAACAACACTAGACGGGGCCAGAAGAACAACAAAGGTAGAACAAGCATTACATCAATTTCTATGGTCTCACAAACAACTCAGTGGACATGTACACCATTCAGCCCACTTGTAGTTACAATTTGATCTCCTGTGCTTTAGCCAAATATATACCAATGATTTAACGCCGTCAATAATCTTAAAGGGAGAGGTACGTATGTTCTTAAACATCCAATCACATCTCGATTTCCATATCAGCCATGTACAACATTCAGCCCACTTGTAGTTACAATTTGACCTCCTGTGCTTTAGCCAAATATACACCAATGATTTAACGCCGTCAATAATCTTAAAAGGAGAGGTACGTATGTTCTTAAACATCTAATCACATCTCGATTTCCATATCAGCCATATCACGTCGTAGCATACACTGATGAGATTGTTTCTCCTTTTCACACATCTACCCAGTTTTTATGAAACTGATGAGATCTCCAATAACGTGAAACTGCGGTTGAGGATTTGCACACCATTTGAACACTCACTCCCATACTGTAGCCGCCACAGGGCAACGAATCAGAATATGTGCAGTGTCTTATCCTCCCGTAAGCATTGAGAACATCTAGCATCTACCCGTGGCACTCCTCTTCTTATTAGCGCACTGTTGGACATAATTCGACCGAGATTAGCTAGTATCTTATATAGTAACAAATTCTGATTCGCTGCCATGTGGCGGCTACAGTATGGGAGTGGGTGTTCAAATGGTGTGCGATTCCTCCTGAGCCTTTATCTTTACTCGCCTTATTACTTGTTGATTATTTGATGTCCCTACTCCTGAGCCTTTATCTTCAACTTTAACACCCAAAGTTGTTACAAGAACATAGCCTTTACATACATTTATATCATATGGACATACCATTTTTTTCCTTTATACTAATAGTTCAATCCCACTCAAATATTGATTTTATCATTTCAGCATACAAATTCATGTTAATTATAACAATTAAATGTTATTGAATTATATTCATTAAACTGCATGCTCAATACATACACTTCATCATCATTTTTTTTTATAATCCAAATTATATCAATCAACTTTCAACAATAACACTCTTTCTATACTCATACTTACTTCAATTAACATCATACATATAAACCCTAACTTATTTACAAAATTTCACAATTAGGGTTCATAAGGAAAAATCCCCAAATCAAAGATTCAATCATTTTAATCACTTCACACACATGTAATTAAAATATATATACTCCTAGTAATCCATTTATACTTCAATTTAGGCTATTTCATAACAAATTTCGGATTACACATCTACGGTTTCACTAGAATTTTTCAATTTGCTCGAATTCCTATCAATCAATATGATAAAGAGTGTGTTTCTTACCTTGAATCACCCAATTTGTAACATCCGTTTTCCAAGGATTTTCATTTTCAGCTCAAAAACATCAATTTCTTCCAAATTTGATCCTTACGCGCGGTGTACACTATGTGTACGTTGGGCGTAAATCATTAAAGTGGACGCGAGGATTTCATGCAGTACGTTGGGCATACATGATGTACGCAGGGTGTATGTAACGCCCTGTTCCGAATTGTTTCTCAATGTGGGGTGGTGACCGAAGAATCGGGTGTCATTAGGCTTAGGGCCTTTGAGGAAAAGAGATTTAAACCCATTTGGGTGTGGGTAATGTGATTTAGATGATTTGGGAGTTCGGTTGGTTTTTTGGAGCCAAGGGGTATTTCGGTAAAGTATCAGTTCGGGCTTTTGTGGAAATTGGATTTTTGTTTGGGAAGTTTTAAGGCAAGTACGAGTTGATAGAAGTGTAAAGCTTCTCGTTACCTTTTCGTCGATATAAGGATCGTCGGAAACGGACTTATAACAAAGAAATTATGGCCTTCGGAAGTTTGGTGATTTTTAGGGTTTAACTGAGTACGCGGGGCGTACACATGTGACACATGTGTACGCATGGCGTACTAGTGATAAGGTCAGTATGTTGGGTGTACTAAGCAATGTGAACGCGGGTGCCCTAAGGAGTATGTTGGGCGTAATCCAGTCATACCCAAACCCTAATTTAGGGTCTTGGACCCTGTTTAAGCTTCTTAACGCACCACCAAACCCTATTATCTTTAGCCTCCATCCCTCTAAACCCAAAAGTCAAAACCTTAGCCCCCATTTGAGTGGTTTTTGATCTTTTATTGGTATTTCATGTTTTTTTGTTTTCAAAGAAGAAGAGGGAACTTCTTGGAGAAGTGTGAGATTGATTGAAGCTGTTGGATAAAGACTTGTTGCATCTTGATCTACATTTTGGAGGTATAAAGTTTCTATCTTGATGACGCTATGTATTAAATCTAGTTTAAGGAGTATTTTGGGGTTCTTTTGGTCCTTAGAGTCATCCTTGTGAGCATGAGCTACTCCAAGAGCTTAGAATGTTGGATCTTGGCCTTTGGGAGGTCCATTGTTCAGAAAAATGTCATCTTGATGAATTATTGTGGTGCATATATGAGTTTGGGTGATTATTATGGATTGCATTAAGGTTTTGGTCCCATTAATCCTTGCAAAGGAGTAAAGTTGCCAATTTTACGTGTTAAGACATCTCATTAGGGTCATATCCAAGTTTGGAAATCATTGTCTTAACCATTAAGAGCTTATTTTGGATTTTTGGACACTGGATGAGCACGTTGGGCGTACCATTCTGGTACGCGGGGCGTACTCCCCAGTTTGGCATTTTGGGCTTTTTAAGACTTGGGCCTTGTTGAGCCATTGGACTTTGGACTTTGGGCCATGGATGGACTTAGGGTTTTCTTGGAAGTAGGTCAATGATGGTTTTGGGGCCCAATCGGGTTATTGGGCCATAATGGGCTTTTGTTGCTTTTGATTTGGGCTTTGGATTGCCATTTTGGGTTTTGGGCTTTTTATGCATTTTGGGTTGGGCTTTGGTCATGGAACAAGTAAGAAAAGGGTAAAATGGTCTTTTACCCTTTAGGAAGTTGGTTTATGGAGTGGGCCTCGGATTTTGGGTTATCGGGTTAATTATTGATTAAGATTGTATTTATTGATTAGTTGGCGCGATGTTATCCGATTCAGCAGTCCGAGCAGTTATTTGATTATCGGCGGATTGAGGTGAGTTTCCTCACCATGTTTAGCGAGTCGAAGGCACCAATGTCGGCCCATGATCTGTATGCTAGAATATTAGATGTATGTGTGACTCTTGTATGTGTATATGATTGTATGCTCACTGGGCGGGGCCCGATGGTTATTTTGTATGCTATTATCTTGTTATGCTTATATGATTTGTATGTGAGCGGGGCCCGTTATGCGAGTTTGGGCGGGGCCCATTATACTCAGTGGGCGGGGCCTGTTATATGAGTTTGGGCGGGGACCGTTATACGCAGTGGGTGGGGCCTGTTATATTCAGTGGGCGGGGCCCGTTATGCGAGTGTGGGCGAGGCCCGTTACACTCATTGGGCGGGGCCTGTTATGTGTTTATTTATGTTTGGTATGTGGTATTTTGGGGAACTCACTAAGCTTTGTGCTTACGGTTTTTATGGTTATGGTTTCAGGTACTTACGATTCGAAAGGGAAGGGCTCGACTTGATCGCAACGCATCCACCCATGTTTCCGCATTATGATGATTGTGGGATTGTACTCTGACAATTGTTTTCTTATAAAGTACTTTTGAATATTTAGAAAAAATATATTGAATGTTGACTTTAAGATGATTAATGTTTTGGTTAAATTAAAAATGAAATTTTTACCTCATAATATTGGGACGTTACAAGTTGGTATTAGAACCTTGATTTGAGGGATTCAGGCACACTCTCTGGTATGTCTGAACTCAAACTGAGGAATTGAAAATCTTTTGAAAGAAAATGAGTTTCTAAAAAGATTTTGAGAAAGGGAATAAATTCCTAAAAGGATTTTATAAAGACAAAGGGGGTGTGATGCGTGCAATCGGCCGAGTTCAAGTAAGTGATTCCCAGAATACCCATACATGTTTGTTATGATTATATGTTATGAGAATTGGATGCTAGGATAAGACTAGGGATACTTTCAGAGATTGCATGATAGATTGGCCTGATATGTGATGCCTTGTAGCCAAGGGAGCATTGGATTGTAACACTTGAATCTTGGTAAGTTTCTCTTTTGCCCTTGCATTATTTAAAGTGTCCATTTTAGTCCTTGAGTTGTACTTGGGGCGTACCACAAGGTACGCTTAGCGTACAAGCTGTAAAGCGAGTACGCGGGGCGTACCAAGTAGTACGCTTAGCGTACTCATGCGAAGGTTTGATCGGGGATCCATAGGCGTACAGTTGGGCGTACAGAAGAGTACGCGGGG